CCCGTAAAATATCACTTGTTTCCCTTGTTTACATCCTGGTCACGGCACCACTATATACCGAAGTTGTCCTCGTATATAAATCCTCTCTCTAAATATTTATTATACACAAAAAACAATACGAAATATATGAATTCACTTGTCTCAAACCCTGTCAATTGTCTCTTAACCTTGTCTATTGTCTCTTAACCTTGTCTATTGTCTTGAACAATAACAAAGTCATTATACCATATATGGTAATGTTGCGCGTGTCTCTAAATATAGCTATTACTGTTCAGAGTTCATCACAATATATATATATATATATATATATATATATATATATATATATATATATATATATATATATATATATATATATATATATATATGTATACATATATACATATATATATATATATATATATATATATATATATATATATATATATATATATATATATATATATATATATATATATGTATATAATATGTATTATGTATGTATATATACTTGGTTATGATCTTATAATTCCTGTTTTCGCTCTACAGGTATATCATGGAAGGACAAGGTCAGGCGGCATAGCACCCGTCTCATTGGGGAATGGAAGTTGGTAAATTGCGCTGTTGATACATCAGATAACGCGACTCTATCATTTGCCGGAGCGGGACCAATCGTACCGGACAAGAAAAGGATAAAAATGGAAGCCACGAATGTATTCAATATAACAAACCTAACTTTGGATGATGAAGGAAAGTACACCTGCAAAGTTTGCAACAAAGAAAGGACCACAAGCTTATACATTCATAGAGGTAAAACTTTAACTACAATATTGCATGGTTACCTATTGTGAAACTATAGAGTAGGTGTGATTAGCATGATACTGTAATACGCCCTTCTGGAACTCCAAATTCACTCAACTGCTCGTGGCAAAATGAACATTATTTATCATAACCCCACATGGCTATTAGAGTCGTAATATATTAGAATCGAAGTATCGAACATTATACAATAAAAATCTCATCCACCATGCAACTACACCCAGATAAAGGAATTCAAAGCAATGCGGAGTGAAAACTTAAATATCGTGACAATCGTCTATTATATTGGTATGGGGTGCACATAAAGCTGAACGCTGGACCCTGAACTAGACCAAACCTATTTTTATAGTGAATAACATGTATATGTTTGTTAATTTGCCAATAAATACTTTAATAATTCTTCTATATATAATAACTTTAAGTCTTCTGTGGCAAAGATAAATTGGAAAATAACCAGGGGTCGGTATAGTTGTTTAATTAATGATGAAATTGTGATTCCTGTATCTCGTTTAGGAATTAATGCTTATTTAAAAGCTTTCATAATAAAGGAACCAGATGAAACATTGTACGATATTAATAGCAAAGTGAAATTAATATGCACATTTGGCAAGAACAAACAAAAACTAAGCAAGAACGAACAAAAACTAAGCAAGGACTACTTTGAACTAGCATGGTACAAACTTGCTTCAGATGGACAAAGAGAACCGAAACCACTTAATGTCCACGAAAGTGTGGATGGGCCATATCTTTTGCTTGATCCACTGACCCAGGAAGCAGAGGGAACTTACGAGTGTGAAGTAACACGACCTATAGTCAACTATTACGATTTTAAATTGGTTAGGATAAAGCTTAAAGGTAAGCCTAATGTGTAAAATAATATTATTTATAATAAATCTTCAACTTAGACTTGTTCAAACATCGCTGAAACCAATTAATAACAATTTGCATGCATGCACGCATGCTTGAACTGAGCCGTGCCGGTTGGGATTTAAGTCCGACGAACGTCCAGTAAATAAAATGTCTCATATTATATAATACATGTCTCATATTATTGAAATTACTAATTTTCCTTATTTATCGATAAAATTGTGATTAGATATTTCTAGTTAGTCAATATGGTGCACCCACGAAAAACGAACATCGAGACTCGGGCTAGATTTAACTCATCAATTGACCTGCTGCAGCTTCTTGCGGCAACGCTATATTCTCGTGGTGGAGACATTTTCACTCGGTACTCGACCAAATTAAAGGGAGACATTTCATTGGCTTTTCGTATAATTGCTATTTATACCAAAAGTTGAGCAGTTTTCGCTGGGAAAAATTACTCTTACTATCATTATGTTATGTGAACACAAATACTTCGATTTCATCGTCTGTAAAGTTCGCACGGACCCATGAGGCCCTGAGAAGCAGAGGGAAACAAAACGATGCTATTGGATAATTGCTTCTATAATTATACCAAACATTCATTGTGTACAAGTGTGCATAAGCATATGCAAAAGAATGTATGAACAAAGATTTTAGCCGAGCTTCCAGACCACATCGTGATTGACTTCACTCTCTCTATATATGCATGTTTCAGTTAGTCTGTGACTAAAAATCTCGGCCCGATTATTTTTTTATGTAGATCGTTTCAGACCCAAAATTCATGTCCGAAATTACAATTCTGTGTTCGTTCGCAAAGAAACAGAAAATTTTTCATTATGGTACAACGTGTCATCTCAACCAGCGTGTAAGATTGCATGGTGGAGATCTAAAGATGGAGTAAAGTATCAGTTGATAACTCAGTGTTTGGTGGATGCCCAAAGGTGCGAAAAACCAGACAAAGGGAACTTGACTATTACGAAGACAAGTTTTGAAATTAAAGACCTCAAATTTCCTCAAGATAACCTGTTCTACAAATTGGTTGCAGAAAACGACAAATGGAACGATTCGAAAACTTTCCAAATACAAGTCCTAGGTAAGGCGAATGAATGCCAAATAGCAAATTTTAACCACTCGTTAAAAACGAAAACAACAGAAATGTTTGTAATAATAGAAAAAAGGTACGTGTCATATGCTCTCTAACCTCCCTTCAACTTAACTCAGCGGTAATATTAATAAGTGAGTACCGGCAATCCCCATGCATGTTCTATTATAGGGACCAGTCATTATTTATGGCGGGGGTGGCACCGAAGAGAAATGTTTTTCGTGCCAAAACATTTTGGTGACCCAACCACCAAATTAAAAAGTACAAAAATTTGATTTGATAACGGATTGTGGAATTTTCTGCAGTCTAAAGTTTCAAAATAGTGACTCTGATTGATTCACATTTTCGGTATTGACATATGACTGTTGACATTGCTTTTTAGTCTCCAATATTTTAGTGAGTCATGCTTTGGAAATGACAATACATTTTTATTGCCCAACCCTTGAGTTGTTTTGTTTTTCATTTACCCAACTTTTTACTCCCTCAAAATTTTGTAGGGAGTATAAGGGGCAAAATGTCACGAACATGCACTATAGCTATTAGCTATACTATAGTAGCTGGTTATCAAATGTTGACAATGACCATGCTAAATCGATCTGTTTTCTTTTAATTTATTGAGTTTTTCAGTACCCATTTTTAGAAAACCTTAATATAATTCTGTGCGTTTGATTATGGCACCAAAACGTTCGAAACTGAACCATGATATGCCGCATGAACTTTCATTTGAAACGCAATATAATTTATGGTTGCAATAAGTCTTTCATTATCATGCTTTTTTACAGCGAAACCTGAGATTGAAGTTCAAGAAGAGATGCATATGTTTAAGAAAGGAATGATCATGATCATTAACTGCACATTATCGAAGAGAGTCAATCCACCCGAAATTAACTATACCTGGCATTCGTGCGACACTGTCAACTGCGGTAAAGACATCGCCAAGTGGAAACTTGAATCACGTAGCTATTCGTTAAGAATTGATAACCAGGTAAAAGCTGAGATGAAGTATCGATGCATAGCCATAAATGCCGCTGGTAAAGATGAATCTGCGACGATCACGGTTTATAAACTGTCAGGAAATTTTTCTACAAATGTTCCTACAAAATCGACAGCATCAGTGAAAACCTTGCTTTCCGTTGTCGTTCCAACTGGAATAATAACCTTGATCATTTCAGTGGCGACATGCTTTGTGTTGTACAAAAGGAAGAAAATTTATGGTGGCTTTTATCTTTTCTCATATCCTCCCTTACCCGACTACATGGAGACATTGGATGTAAATGGAAATATCCAGGAGCAACTCCAAAAACTTCCGTTTATAGCTGAATGGGAATTTCCAAGAGAAAGAATAAGTTTTAGTAAGTACGAAATGTTCCCAGTTTCCGTAAAGTACCAGTCTCCGGACAAAATATTTTTAAAACGCTAAATTTTTATACGAAACAACCAAATTTAAAGGAACAAATTAATATGTTATTGTTCGGAATAGTTTCACCTTATAGTTATTGCAGTTTTCAGCAGAAGCACCAACTTTAAGTGGCACCCAGTTGAAAACGTGTACATAAAAATGGCCGTAGTTATAACGGCAACACGACTATATATATAATTATAGATATGCGCGGCGGCAATGGTACATGAGAAAAATGATTATGTGAAAATATATCATAAACATATCATTTGCGAAGTATCAAATATATCATTTACGAACCATTTCGTGTTGATTTTACATTAAATTCATTAATTAAAAATAGAACCAATATAGGATGGAAAATAAGATACCTACTTAAGTTTATATATTGATAGTTCTTTAATTATTTAAAAGTGTTAAACTTTTATCCCCGAGCCAACGGCGCGGAGCGCCGTTCCGGGCGTAAGCCCGGGGCGAGGGTACTAATTCCGCCCGGCTCTTTACACCTGGGGAAACAAAAGCATCAGCAAGTCTAAAGTTCATCAATGATCGCGGGCGTGGGTTCCCGTGCGTGGTTCGGTGGGTGGTCATCTCACTGATCTCAAAATATGGCGGTTTGCCAGGAGTGGAGAAGGCGTAAAATATAAAAAAATACATGTATAAAGCTTGGAAAATTGTTTCACATAACAAATTGTAAAACTTTTTACAATTTTTAAACATAAAAATTTATAAGGATTGATTTAGTATGAGAAATCCTAAAGTATAGGGCAAGTTTGTTTCAATTGTTTATGTATGACTTTGTATTTATAATATAGACTTTGTTCTTGATGTTCAAGTCTTTCCCATGCATTGTTTGCGAAAGTTTTTTAGTTAAATTAACTTTTGTAGAAGTTCATGACAAAAAGGAAAACAAATTATTTTCATTAGCGTCCTGTACGAATTAAATTTATTTCATTTCAAAGTGCGAGTAATAAGTTGAGGCTCGAGTTGAAGAGTTTATAAAAATCAGTAAAAAGCAGTTAATTTCAATTCACATTTAAAAACCTTTTACGTAGAGTTTCGTTTTGAATTTCACATTAAAATGAAGCCCATTGAAGCCAAACTAATATACTTACTTTATATATTTAGAAATTGATAGTTCTGTATTTAAAACTGTTCAAATTTCATCTATTTTTTGCAGGTTTGTATACAAAAAATAAAAAAAAAACAATGGACAACTTGCATGCTAGACTAAATTTTAATCTAAGTAACGACAAGGGAATCAAACACAGCAGTTGAAAGAACATAATGAAATTAGTAAAATTGCAAAATTTGGTTGCGAAATGTTGCAAAATACAGAAAATATAGCCTTGCGAAGTTTGCATACTTTCAGTAGCCTATATTTGTATTACGTGCAGAAATTGTTACCATTTTCGGCTCAAAAATAGTAAAAATTTCCGCACGTAACACAAACATACTGAAAATATGCAAACTTTGCAAGGCTATATTTTCTGTATTTTACAACATTTCGTAACCAAATTTTGCAATTTTACTAATTTTAATAAGTTCTTTACGAGAATTTACTTTTTTTGCCCAAAAGAAAATTAGTCTAACATGAAGTTGTCTATTATCCTGTTGCCATGACTAACATGACGTGACGCGAGCCTGCGTTCAGTGTTGTCGTAATTACGAATACTTCATGTTGAAACAATGTTTGGAAAATATAGGCGAGGGTTTGTTGCATGCATGTATTTCTAGTTTATTTCCCCCCCGTTTTGTACAAAACATTAAAAAGACAATATCGTGTTGCCATGCAAGGCTAATATGAAGCGAGCAACGCGAACCTGAATTCAGTGGTGGCGTAATTAAGAATACTTCATGTTGAAACAATTAATTTTGGGAAATATAGGCGAGGGAAATATAGGCGAGGGATCGTTGCATGCATATATGTATTTGTAGTAATAAACCTGCCTTGTAACCAGGCGCTTCGGTTTCCCACGCCGTTGAGTGGATAGCGAACGGGATGACACGCAGCCCGCGCAAAGGCCACGCGAGCCATAGCAGCAACATATAGCGCCTGCGTACGAGGCAGGCTGCCAATGAGAAACAATGTTGGCATCTTGTTCTCAAAAAAATAAAAAGTTAATGTTTATTTTCCTATCAATATAAATCGCCGCATTACCTATTTCTATCCCCTCACTTGGAAATAGGTGAGCGTTAACCTGCGATCAGGCCTATAAATAAATAAATAGGCGTTTAGCAAAAATTTAATTTCTTTGTAGATATACTTATGCTACAGGATTTTTAATAATGTTTGTTAACATGCGATTTTTTGTTAGTCAGTGAACTTGGTTCGGGCGAGTTTGGAGTAGTTTGGCTGGCAGAGGCAATGGGTATATCTGCATTTCGTCCAAGAGATATTTTGAAAGGAAGAAAAAGTCGACGAAGGTTTTCCTTCTTTAATCGCATGACGAAAACAAGCAGCTACGTTTATTGTAAGGAAGTAACAAAAGTAGCCGTAAAAAGAATTAAAGGTTTGAGTTAGTTGGACATTGCAAATGTTCACGTTTATATATATATATGTATATATATATATATATATATATATATATATATATATATATATATATATATATATATATATATATATATATATATATATATATATATATACATGTAGTGTTGCTAAATAAAAAACAGAACAATTCTTAATGAACGCCAGTCCTCATTTTCCCATTATAGCTGTGGTCACTTGATATGTTTTTGAGCTTTGCATTTTTTTCTCAAGGCGGGAAAATTAAAAAAGTAAACAAAATTATATATGTGGTTTCAAAAATGTTGGAGTAATAACCTTTTAAGCGCGGAGCTGGCAATTAAGATGGCAGTCATTTGGTTTAATTTGGTAATCAAAGTTTAGCCAAATTAATCTACGTTTTGGTTGTAACATGTTGTTAGTTTCAAGAACAATGAATTCTTATTAAAGTGCATATGACATGGAATTTCTTATTTTTTTAAATGAAAGAACTCTTTAAGCTGTAGTGTATAACTTACTTTTCAGTTTCTTGTTTTTATAGTTTTCCCCCGAGATATTTCGATTTGTTTGATATGTAATAGACTTACCACAAGCCGATCTCGAATAGCGAGCTGTGAGCGGTAAAGCCACGAGATCTATACGAACCACGAAAAAAACTGGAAAGGACTTTGGGAAAGTCTAGATATGTAAATGAGTGTGAATATGTCCGCTAATTTACGTCATATTGGTTGCAAGCTCAACTTAAACTGGTTATAATTAATCTATTAACTCTAAAAACTGTAGATATCAGTTCACATTTTTCTCCAGTGTTTCATCACATTTACCAGTGAGTGAAGTTTGAAATTATCATCTTGGATGATAGCAGTGATATTTAACCATTTTGAAGAGCGTGCAACCAATGTGACGTCATAAATTAGCGGACACATTCACACTCATTTGCATATCAAACAAATTGAAATCTTTCAGGAACAAACCATAAAAACAAGAAACTGAAAAATAGTTACACTACAGCTTAAAGAGTTCTTTCATTCAAGAAAATATGAAATTTCATGTCATATGCACTTTAATAGCGAAAATAATTATACAGTGTATATACTTTTCTTTGTTATATAGACAATTGGGATCGAAGCAAACTGCTTGATTTGCAATCTGAGCTAAAGATTTTAATTCATGTTGGTGAGAATGAGAATATTGTAAACATACTGGGTGCTTGTACTAAAGGTAAGGGAATTTCTATAGTCTATCAACCAGAGCTACACTGTTTAAGAAATATAAAACGAGTCGCGTGCGTTTATGTTGTGATAATGCACGCGGGGAATGTTGGGAGAATACGAGAGAAGCATGAAACACAAGGCACAGTCGAGTGTTTTACACGCTTCTCGAGTATTTTCACAACACTCCCCGAGTGCATTATCACACCATAAACCCACAAGAAGAGTTTTTCTATTTCTTTTAAAATATGACTCAAAAGATCGACATTGAAATTCTCCTAACATGTACTCAGTGACGTCACTCGCATGCTTTTACTGTCGCTTGATTTTTTAAGCGAGCGAAGGAACAAAAACAATACAATATTTTGATAAAATTTTGATGCTAAAGTTGCGAAGAAACTGTTTAAAATGCTGGGGTCATTACCCCAGTGATACACAATTAATTTACTAATGTTTTTCAGCATCTGGGCTGCCGGATTTGCCATGAAAGACGCTAAATCGTACATTATTCGTCGTGTTGCTCAGTTTTTTAAATTTTTGAAATATTGTATTTTTTGCATTTTGCCGAAAGTATAACTAGCAGTTTTTATTACAACCATTGAAAGTACTTTCTAAATCACTTCTGTTCAGTTGTTGTTGCCATTTTCTATGTTTTTTGGTATTGCTTTAGGTATTTTTTTCTCGGTTATTTTGCACGCAAAATCCAAAACTTGTCGAGACAAAATCAAATTCGACGAATGCCAAGCCTGTTAATTTTACTGTTTTTACACGTAGAACTATAGATAAAATTGCTTTGTTCCCTTGGTATATTCCTTCTTGCCTTCTGATAAATTTTGTATTTTAAAAAAAGCTATAGTTTTGTTTATATTTTTGGGAAAAAACATGGAAAGATCAAGGCAGTGCCACGAACCACATTGCATTAATGCATCACAATGCACGCGCATTAGCCAATCAAATTGTCTGTTATATTATATCGCACTTATATTATAATGTCATATACATTCGTTCTCACTGACACCATGAGGATCAATACTTCGAACTTTCACCTATGATGGGATGTGCCCGATTAATTGATGGGTAGCCTGCGAACAGGCGTTTATTCATGGTCCTCGTAATAATAAACGCCTGCCGGCATGCCTTATGCTTTTGAAAAACGCCTCTTTGAGTCACACCTATGGTCACGCCCACCTGTCAAAATCACAACAGTGCAACAGGTGGGAAAATTATCGTCGCTGTCCAAATTTATCGCAGACGCTTTCTTTTTGCCAGCAGAAATTGTGAAAATAACCAAAACACAACCGGATTTCGCTACCCTGTTTCTCGTAGCTAGCAGACGTAAACGTTAATAAACGTTAATCAAGAACACAATTACTTGTCGCAATCGGGAAATTAGCAGTCAAGAATTCTTCGCTGAAACATGGCCGAAAATGACGTTTCATGCAAAATGTACGTTTTTGATGGCAAATAACATCGAGCAGGAACTTAATATTGATGGAATATTACTTGAAATTTGCAGTACATGCGTTTGTTGCTCAGGACAAAGTATAAATATTTGGTTTTTGGGTGATACTGTATGCCAACAATCATCGTCAAATTTCAGTATGTGAGGTATTTTGCTAAAATTGCTTGTTTTTTACCTTAATTTTCTCTTATATTCATGTTGTACCAATGAAATGTGATTCGGTCAGAAGATGTGCTTTTCTTTCTAATTTTTGCTAATACTGTAGGCCTAATAGAATGTAAACTCGCCTAAAAGATGAAGAAAGTACTGAATTTTGGCAAATTAGTTCATGTGCAGGTGTGATTATACGAAAAAAGGCGACTCAGAAAATGAGCTTCCGAATAAATATTTATGGCTGGCAGCCATGTATTTGCTATAATAGTTTTAAAATATTATTTTAGGTTTTCAAAGTATTTAAAAAACAGATAAACGTAACAATCAGATTTTTCTATGATCCTAATTCCGAAGTGTAAACTTTGTATTATTTTTAATTAAACACAATTTTCGCTCGTTCAAAATTCTATAAACACAAATTTTGTCATGTTACAGGTTGTGCCAACGAAATATCGCTGTTTTACATTAAATTTCAAAGTATTTTTAAGTCGGTATTAAATTTCTTGGCTTTGTAAAAAATGAAGAAGTTTTAGTATTTTTGACTTATGATTTGAATTTCACATTTTATTGAAGCTATCTGTTTTGTTTTGCACTGAAATAATCGATATTAATAGTTTACATTTTTTTTTTAATTAACTTCACAATCAAATGACCGATGGTAAGGACAACAGGACGTGAGTCCCCAATTAAGTCCCACCACATTGTAAAATATGTGGCAATAGAGGAAATCAAAGTATTACAGCAACATTTTTGTCAGTGAATCCAATTTTTGTGGTTATTTGTGGGCCTAAATATAGCTGCTGCAAAATTGTCTTTCGAAAGCTTCGTTCATGTTGTTTATGTTTTTTAAATCAACCAAGTGGAAGCACTCATATCTTCTTCTCCCGCTAAAAACCCGAGCAGTTTTCGCGCATCGCTCAGTCAATTCTCCCACCTGTTGACCAGGGCGCTTATACCATAGAATAGAAAATAGTCTATTTTTAGTGCAAAGTTGCTTTGCACTATTGTTATGAGGTTAAATTCAATTCAGTGACCGATCAATGGATCGATGCATCGATCTATGGATCGATCAAAAGAGTAAACAATCCGGGGGGAGCTTGCGAATATTTTTTTCACGTTTTCTTTTCTAGAGCTTCGCGATGTTTGGCCAACTAATCGTTCATAGCTGTTTGTAGATTATAACAATCTATATTTATATTGATGATGGTACATGTTCTTACTTATTTATCCAACATTTAGAGAAGTTATAACCAAATTACTGTTGCATTTCAAGCACTTGTTATTATATGATATGCCCCCCTGCAACATAAATACACGTGCATAATACACGTGCTCTCATATGTTATTATTTTACAATGGCGGACATGGACGAGCGGTGACTATGAGCGGCGGTGTGAAATGCTGAAATCATGTAGACTAGAGTGTATTACATCTGAGGTTGATAGTATTATAGCACAGTGGTTTAATATCTATGTCATATGAAAGACACGGAGCGATGTATACATGAATAAGTGCCAGTTGATAGTTTTGATATAAAATTATAAGTCATATAGCTTATTCTTGTATTAACTATTATTATATCACGGTATAACCCACGGAAAGGAGGGACCGCTCGCAGTCTATATTAGCCTATTCTTGTATTATTATATCGCGATAGAGCTAGGTTTACATGGCCCAATATTCAATAAATAGTAAACAATAAAATAAAATTGAAATTTTGCTCAAGAGGCAACATGCCGAGGTCGAGCGTATTTATATTGTAGCGGCGACGCCGGCGAGAGCCAGTGTCCCAGTGAACTATAAATGTCTGTATTAATAATGATCTTATTGATCTAGTGCAGAGGAGGTCGGACAAGCAGGCCGCAAAGCATCATGGGTTTGAGCGCCTAATTCCAGGCGTGGCTTCAATGACTCTTTGACTGTCGTGGAGTGAACATCTCTCTGAGTAAACAAATATGAAAGCATTCGAAAGACAAGATTGTCAGGCTGCAATACTTCGTGAAAATAGCATGTTATTGCTGTATTGTTGCGATCCTCATTATGACGTGTGAGTTACTATACCAACTTTACCTTATACTAAATTGCATGGGACGTGCTGTCTTTTTATAGCTTTATAAATAATCCGCGAAGGAATTGTGTTATTTCCAATAGCAAGGCTGTTCTTTTTAAGTTGGATGGAATCTCCGTGTATCATCATCGTGAAAACATCCGCAGTAGTTAAGGTTGGTATCCTACAATGCAATACAGTTGACTTGTTTCAAATTTCCGCTTTGCTGTTTTCAATATTGTACTGTAATTTTATAAATACACTGTACAAATTATGGCGTAATATTTCAAATATTAAATTCAACCCTTTAGTTTGACCCTATTCCTGATGAGTTTGCTAATGAAAACATCCAGCATATGCTTTTGGATTTCGATGGGGATCATATCAGTTGACAGCGAATACAATTGATGATGGACATTGTCATTGGTTTTCAGATGAGTCTGAAGGTATTGTTATTTGTATGTATTTTATAAATTTTTGCTGTGTATGATGCCTGTTTGTATCTAGTTGTGGATGGTTGTTTAAATGTGCAAAGTGTAGTTTAATATTTTTCAATTTTCATCTAAATATTGTTTGTGTGTTGTTCTATTATGGTTAGCACTATTTTCCATCCAGCAAACTGACCTGATGTCATTTTCGGAAGATAGAAGAGGTGTTAAATGGCTATGTAACTAACCCAAACCCTACCCCTACTTTAACCCCTAACCGCAACTCTAACCCTAACCGAATTAATAAAAAAACGACTTTAGAAAATCGATAGGGCGGTTTGCTGGATGGAAAAAAGTGCTAATTGTGTAAGATTGCTAATTTTAGAGATGACGGTGCATGAAATAATAATTTTCTTGTTATGATTTTGTAGAAAGAGATTTACTTGAGTTGTTGGCTGGTCATGAGCCTGTTCAGGAAGGATATGATAATGAAAGAGGTGATAGGGTAGAAAGTGATGACAAGTTAAGTGATGAGGAGGAAGAAATCAACCAGGCTGTACCATTCAAGTGCATCTGTGGGAAAAGGCATACCTCACTCTTCATGAACAAGATAAACCAGTGAATGTAAGAATACGGCCAGAGCCATTGAATCCAAGGGACCCAAGTGCAATAGCAATTGATCTAGACTATGGAACTGGATGGCCCCATGTTGGTTATATATTGCTTCTGAACTATGCACTATATCCGCACCCATTAATTGCTGCAAGGGATGTCATGGATGTCTAATATGTTCAGCATATCAAGTATAGGATTGACTTTTTTAAAATAGGATTTTATCCAAAACATTTTGCAGAGACATGGTTAGTGCATGGGAGACTTAAGTGGTAGGAAAAGCATGAGTGTATGTTGACAGATGTTTT